TTTATTTTTCACATAAGCTCGTGATCTTTTTCTCTTTATTCTGGTGTGACTTTTGATTAACTTTGATTGGAAATTGATGAGGATCTTTGCATTAAGGCTCTAAGTAATAAATACAGTCTTGACCTTACTATTGTAACAATTATTTCTTTTTCTACTTAGTTCTATTCTGAAATTATATTGCCTCTTTTGATTACCCCCCAACAGCAATGTTCATTCTGAAGTTATAATTTAATTTTCTTTTCATGTCTATATTTACCACAATCACTTTCTCCTATAACCGCTGACTTCTGCTTCAAGAAGGCCATGTTGTCTCTCACCTTCTTGAGGATCAAGTCTTCACTGAAAGGCTCATGGAAACATCAGATAACATGAATAATTCAATAGCAATTCAGTATTCACTAAAACACTTCAAAGTACTATTTCCTTTATACTGAATTATTTTTCATAAATCATGTAACATTATTAGTATTTGTTGAAGTGTTTCTTTTTCTTTAAATAGTTATAAATGGATTCAGAGCTAGAATTTTCTGCTGTATGTCATGGGAATATGTTTCTGCTTTTTAAATTTAATCAAGAATTTTAGAGCCATGGTTATTCTTCTAGTAATTACATTATATTATGAGTCTTACCGTTTAGTGTGATTGCTTCTGCTCACGGTATGTCCGTTCAGGTGGTGGGTTTCTCTTCTCAGTAATCAAACACATCTTGTGACTATGCTGCACTGAATTGATTGACTGAGTGTGGCCATGTTCCTTTAGTCCCTTTATTATTAAATTCCTTCATCTCCAGCTCTTACAGATGTGCAACCCCAAAGGGACGGAATTGCAAATGCAAAGCCACACTGTTAGTGCAGGGGGACGATTTGAAGCAAGGTCAATTGCATTCCGCTTCAATCTTTTCTCCCTGTGAGCCTGGGAAAAGGAGGGTCTTTAACCCCTTTCTTCAACGGGCCTATTTCCCTCAGATTATTTCCCTCTAGCCCTTGACTTTCTCCTCATCCCCAGTCAAGTACTTTCAACAGAAACAGTGGGCAGAGTGCTTTTTACTTATCTACAGTGATCCCCCTGAGAGGAGGCACAGAGGCCTCAGGGTGGAGGCAGGGTGGCTGCATGGGACAGTAGAGATGAAATATTGAAGATATTCTATTTACTAAGATATATTAAATCTGTTGAGGATCATTGAGCCCTTCGAGTCCATTAACATAACATTGCTATTTTGAATTTTCCCACAAATCAACCCAGACATGTCATGCTGTGATATGATAAAAACTAACTGTACGAAGGCCCAGAAAAGGCCTTCATACCCTGTGTATAACAATGTCACTCCTTTAAAAAAAAAATGCTGCTTTTCTCCTTGTTTGAATTGTATAATAATATAATCATTTATATGTAAAAATGATTGTCTTTCTCCCAGCTTCCACCCCTGTTGATTCAAAAATTTTGCTAAGCCTGGGTGGATAGACCACATCAATGAACTTCTCTGACTATTTATCTGCCCACAGCTTGCCCGTCGGGGACATACAAGCCTGAGGCTTCCCCAGGAGGAATCAGCACATGCATCTCATGTCCTGATGAGAATCACACCTCTCCACCAGGAAGCACATCTCCTGAAGACTGTGTGTGCCGAGAGGGATACCAGTCATCTGGCCAGACCTGTGAAGGTAAGTCTGCCACTGTTGGCCAACAGCAAATGGGAAAGCTGGTCTCTGGCGTACAAGGAAGGTGGTAGCATCCAACACTTTTAGGATGACCTTTAATATCCCTTTCTCTAGTCATACTGGGGGAGATTATTTGCTTTTGCTATATAGCATTTATTAGCATTAAACACATACATACCTTACTCCAGAGAAAGCGGATCTGAGACTCTAGGCATAATGTAATCATAGAAACTGAGTTTTAGTACTTAGAAACAGGAAAAGCCACAATTTCAAAAATGAATTTGAATAATAAGTAAGCTTATCTTGGCCTGAAAGTGGTCAATTCATTTTGGGTGGTCATATCATGGAAAAATTTTCTCATGTGGAGAAGTGTTTCAATATTAATCATGTCAAAACAGAAAATGTTTAAATTATATATCACCCTCAGGAGCTGTGGCTCTTATACTTTGTAGTAAATATGCTTTTCTTTACTGTACTTATTCATTATTTCATGCCACCTTCATTAAGAGGGAAATATCTATGACACATGAAACTCAAGAACTGGGAGCGAGGGCTATATCTTGGTGGTAGAGCGTGTGTTTAGCACTCACAAGGTCTCAGGGTTCAGGGGCGAGAGCTACGATATCTTATATTCATCTATGTTGATATCAAAATAAAAGCTTTTGAAACTTAAAAAATAATAATCAGGGGCTGGAGAGATGGCTCAGCAGTTAAGAACAGTAGCTGCTTTTGCAGAGGTCCTGGTTCCCAGAACAATATGGAAGCTAAAAACCATCCATGGTTCCAGTTCCAGGGGATCTGATGCCCTCTTCTGACCTCTGCTGGCACTGCACAACATAGGTGTACTTACATACATGTAGACAATACACTCATACCCATAAAATAAATATAATAAATAACCCATCACTCAGGAGGCAGAAACAGGCAGATTTCTATGAGTTCAAAGCCAGCCTAGTCTACACAGTGAGTTCCAGGCCAGCTGGGGCTACAGGGAGACCCTGTCTCAACAAGACCAATAATAAATAAATAAAT